TAGTCCAGTTGAAAAAAATCTTAAGGTGAAAAAAATTGCAATATGTGTATATACATATTTGTTAAGTAGTATCTTGTAACATTATATATGAATTGTCAGGTGTTTATATAAATACATTTTAGGTCGTTTATGCCATATTTTGTGTAAAAAAAAGCACAAAAGCTTTTGTAAAATTGTTAACTGATTTTCAAATGTATACATGCAAAGCTGTAATTGTCTAAATGCTTGTACTTGGGTAGTTTCAACTTTTAAAAAAATTATTCCTTTTTGTTTTCTATAAATTGTATGTAAATGTTACCGTAAGTATATTTTGTTAAGTATTTTTGTTGAAAAATTACATAGAATAAAGTGGCATTATTTTCGCTGTAACTAATTTGGTTATGTTCTTAATTCTTAATTTGAACATGTTCATAGCATGTTGCTGATATGACTGAAGATAAAATTAGTATTGTTCAGTAAAAAAGGCAGTTTTTAAGATTTATGTTGTTCAAGGATAAAATTATAGTTTAAACTATGACTTTCAATGTTTTTATCATAATTAATACAGATTTTTTCCCTTGCGTGCATGCCATAAAAGAGCTTCATTTGAGGACAATCAAAGTGAATGTTCTTTTCATATTGTACCCATCCCATTCGAGATCTTCATTTGAGAACAATCAAACTAGCAATAGTTTCTTGTCTTGCACCCTCCCTTTCATGACATTCTTTTGGGGTAAGCTTAAATAGCCTGATATTTGAATAATATATGTTGTTGTTGTTTTTTCTTTGTGTGCATGCCACACGGCCCAGCATGAACAGGTGGTTAGGGCGCTCGACTCGCAACTTGCGGGTCGCGGGTTCGAATCCCCGTCCCATGTTCGCCCTTTCAGCCGTCGGGGCGTTATAATGTGACAGTCAATCGTTGGTAAAAGAGTAGCCCAAGAGTAGGCGGTGGGTGGTGATGACTAGCTGCCTTTCCTCTAGTCTTACACTGCTAAATTAGGAACGGCTAGCGCAGATAGCCCTCGTGTAGCTGTGCGCGAAATTCGTAACAAACCAAACAAAGTGTGTGCCCCTGGTGGCTCAGCAGTAAGTCTGGGGGCTTATAACGCTAAAAACAAAAATGGTTTCAATACTTGCGGTGGGCACAGCATAGCACACTGTATAGTTTTGTGCATACTCACAAACAAAGAAAATTTTTGTGTTTTTGTCTTTGACTATCACGAATTAGCTTATAACGACTACCTTAAAATGCGCGTGCTCCGCTGCCGGGTTCAAAGGCCTCTTCATGATTCACAGAAGTCTCATTGTGCACCGATCAAGCTCCTCCAACTACTTCTCTAGCCACCCCAAGGGAAGTCCATACCCCAAAATAAACCTCGATCGGACACCTACTAATGGTGTGTTACCTGAGCACGTGTAACATATTTGGTCCTATAAGTATGTGCTTGGATGATCTTCGGTGAGTGTTTTGTTGGTATCACCATCCTTCCATTAGATAGAAATTACATGTAAATACACTAAATATGAAGCATTCCGAAGAGTAATTATATAGGAGCTGGAGAAGTTAAAGTTGTGGTATTATTGGTTTAAAGGAATAATTTCACACTCGTAAACACAATCTGTGTAATCAGAGGTTCAAGGATGTGATGGGCGAAATGTTAATGTTGAAACCAAGGGCTAATAAAGAAGAGGCGTGAAAGTTTGACGAACAAAAATAAATAATCTATCATCAACAGCTCATCAGTGGCTCCACAGTGCGTCTGCATACTTATGACGCTAAAATTCGGGTTTTGATACTCGTGGTGGGTAAGGCAAAGATAGCCCATCGTGTAACTCTGCACTTAACAACAACCAAAACAATTGTCAAGGCCCTCACAATTTCACCAATGTAAAACGAACACAATAAAACAAAATTGACAGAAAGATAATTAAACAAAGTGAAAACAAATAACTCGAACGGAAAACAAAATTTTAAAATGTGCATCACTTCAACATACTATCGTAAAATATAAAAATGAACAGTAGCACAAACACACAACATCCTGCAGGTTTATGCCCTTCTTAGTTTGGAAATAAACTCTTTAAGATTCCAAAACTGCTTACACAATTTATGGTCACTATACCTGACCATCTGCAAGTGGATTTCAGAAATTTGGATATATCTATGAGTAATCATACACAGGGTGATATTATCTACCCTGTGTTTGATATGAAGCACCCGTTGTGTCACACTAACCCTATTGTGCACCGATCAAACTCCTCCAACTACTTCTGTAGCTATCCCAAGGGAGGTCCGTCCCCAAAACAAACCTCGTTAGGACACCAGCTAATGCTGTGGTACCTAAGCACGTGTAACACATTTGGCCCTGCAAGCTGGAGAATTTTCAACATTGTCCATTTATTAGACAATTAACAGTTCAAAGATTAGTAGTTTCACATTCACTTAGTTTGGTTATGAGCTATAGAAGATACAATATTCGGCCTGGCATGGCCAAGTGGTTAGGGCGCTCGACTCGCAGTCTGCGGTTCGAATCCCGTCACACCAAACATGCTCG